AATGAACACGAGATTGGAAGAAGGCAGAGTTAGTGATATCTTTATTTATTGCCTAATCATCCTTGGAGAAAGCAAAAACACATCAGAACAAGCAGAAAAAAGACACTTGATCAAGGATCTACCGTTAACCAGATAAAAATGGATCGCAAGGTAGACGAGAGGAAAGAAGTTTCGGGAATAGAGCAAAGACGTTCTCAGTGAGTGTAGTCTGCTCGGAGAAGTAACTAAAATTTTGGGGATCTGACGTTTATGCAACGTGGGAAAGTGATTTGGTCACAAAGTTTAGGCCCTTTGACCAATGTGACCTATAATCCACTCTAAATGCAGCAGAGGAGCAGAGATAGATGTTCACCGTCTGTTCAGGATACACTGGTTTTACAAAGTAGATGGTGTGTGAGGCTAATGTATAATATTCACTAGCAGGAGTTGCAACCGAGTTAAACCTGTTAACTGGAAATGTAAGAAATGGATATACGGGACAATGAGGTATATCTGGTCAGGTGGTTTGAGTCGGATCAGTCACTCAAAAGGGAGGTGAGAAAAGCAAACAGCAGGTGTGATGACGCCATGGTAAATTAGAAAAAAAGAAACACCTCTTGTGAATTATAAAAAAGTTAGAAGTTGTGATAGGACGAAAACGATAGATAGGAGTGATGGCAGAAAGTTGGCCAAGGATTGATTAAATTGTCTCCTTGACTGGGAATAGAAAGATACACTGATGCTACGGATTACGATGCCGGTAAAACGTCTTGGAATGTACCAAGTTCTAGGTCCGACTCTGGAAATTATCAAGCATACTATGGAGTCCAGAAATGTTCTTTCCTATAAGTCTTCTTGCTAATCTCACCAAGTTACGAGAGCAATGTCAAATGACTACCATACAGCGATAGGAGACTATGACAAAAATGGAGGCCACAACGTCTTGATCTTCTTATAAAAGTTTCCCCAAATTTTTATTAACATAATAGTCTTTACTAGATGATAGGAAAAAATCAAGATTTACAAACTTTATTACATGTTAATAGAGAACTTGAGAACAATAACTTATATTGTGTGTATGGTCCATTTAACTCAATTTTATCAGATAAACAATTAAATAGCGTAATGCTACTTTACAAGTACGCTACAAATAATTATAACAAAAAAGCGTATTTTAAACGTTTTTTTACATTTTATGAATTAATGGGATTTACTAAGACATCTATTTAAATAAAAACCTCAAACACATGCCATTACTATTTCATAAAAACTTTCGACATATTTAGTAAATGCCTCATTTCATGCTATCTAAATTATAAAATTTCGGTATTTAATGTTTTTTGAGATAAAAATATGGTTTATAAAAGTACCTACATTTGACTTTAACTATACAGTTGGCTCATCTACCGTTTTTAAAAGAATTAGGCTCATGCCCTTGTAGTTGTATCGTACAAATATATAAGTCTCTGTATAGATACATATTTAGCTTCTTTTTCGCGTACAATTTAATGAATAAGCGCCTGAAAAAACTAGATGGAATGCGTCTTGCTTTCGACTTTGCTACGACAACTAAACGGCCTGATGGCTGCTTCCCCGTTGCAGTAAGCAGCATCAACCCGGTTCCCGCTGGTTTGGCCTGTTCCACGGAAGTTAGTCTTAACGGCAAGCGTATTACAATTTCTGTAAAAGACTTGGACGGTATCCGTTCTTTAGGTAATATATTTCTTTCAGTCTTAGGCCTCGTAGTCTCATTCGCCCCAAATTGCTTCATAATTTTACACGTCCTGCATTTAACATTTCTTGAACCTACGTTTTTATGTAACATATGTATAGAACATTTAAACTGATTTTACCATGCATTCTTGCGGGGGACTTATCTCTCGTTCACTTTGCCACTAATAAAACTATTGTTGATGCGACGGCATGAGTGATGTTATATCAACACCAAAATTAATATGAATGTATTAACTTGATTAAAATGGGTAATTTAAATCTGCACGATTTATACTTACCTTATTACGCATTGCGTGCGAATGGATATTATAATTGTGTTCCCTCTATTTCTTGATTATGATTTTATATTTTATAATACATATATTTGTATTAATAGGTCGTGGACAATTTGGAGCTGTTGAAGAGATGATTGAAAGACAGACAGGATGCGTTTTTGCTGTAAAGCGAATTGCTATAACCACGGACAATCCCGAACGCCCTAAACTCCTCAACGATCTTAATGTCAGCATGCGTTCTTCTAAATGTCCCTACGTTGTAACCTCCTATGGTGCTCTGTCACACGAAGGTGAATTGTGGGTGATTATGGAACTCATGGATATTTCGCTAGACAAATTATTGCACAAGGCAAGTCATTTCTTTAAGGGTCCCATTTGTATATTTTCTTGTTTTACTTTACTTTTAAATAAGTAAAGAGAAGGCAAATGAAGATTTATATAATTTTATTATAACTGAAGGTGTTAAAGCATTTGATGAATTCCGACCTAATGCAAAATCAAGGCAAATTTTATATTATTTTTTACGGGTTGGTTCGTTGTTCTGTAACACGTTCGAATTCCATATATGGTTGTATTAAATGTTAAAAATGACATTTCCTCATTAATACTAAGATATTTTAAGCTTATTGAACTTGTTTATCCAATATGCTTTATCATAGATATGAGAATATCTCGATTTTAGCTAGCTCTGTTGAGATTTTATTTAAGTTTTTTAGCAGCTGTATATTTAGGATAATTCTTACCAATATTATTTTAGCAAGGTCCTTTAAATTCTCAGAATGGTGTGCTTGAAGCTCATCAATTTTGTTGACTTGATCTTCGTTCTAAGTAAGTGTGGGATAAAAGGAATTGTATTTATATCTCGCCAACAGACGACGACCAGTTCTACCTTGCTTGCGGGATATTTAAATTGGCACAGTCCTTGAACAACTTTATTTTGATTTCGGAGAAAAAAGTGCAAGAATTTTATCTACCATATAATAGACATCATCAAAGTAATGACTTTTAACAACCTCGGACTTATACCAGGCTAGTAAAAACTAATAGTTAGTTTTCTCAAAGAACAATATAAGCAGAACAATTTGATTATCGCTATTTTTTCTATATTAAAATTAGGAACTTTAGAAACCAAAATCATGATACTAAGCAACTAAAACAACTATCTTTAATTACCTTTTTTTGACAAAAGCATTCATCACTATGATTGAGCTTTTATAGAATAAATATATAGAGTGAGTTTAATAATAACCATTGTCCGGCATTGCGTATTTGTATTAATGAAACCAACTGGATCAATAAGGTTATTAAATCTTAATGACCTTAGTACAGATGTTTCAATCCGATTCTTCATGTCTACATATATACTAAAGCATACACAAATATAGATATATGTCGTCAAAAAATAACCAAATTTTCGCATACTCGTTGGTGAGTTATCCTATGAGCTGACAGCAGGGAAAGACTATCCGGTAAGTTTTATTAACTTGTATGCTCGAGATTCTTATGTCTCCACTGATGTCTATCATGTGGCAGAAAGAGGGTCTTTCGAGGACTGCATCAACTTGAATTTCCTAGTAATACCAAACCACAATATACTAGATGGACACCTCCATCATATTATAAGGAGATGAATATACAAATCTTCTCATCGCACACTTTTGAAATTAATGCCATGCTAACATTGATGTGCTAAAAGATTCCTCTTGAACCAGTTCCTCTTCTAGGGGAATAGCATTTTGCTGCTTTAATAAAATACATCACGTACTGTCAAAACACTTGATAATTTTACTTGACTGAGCAAAATATTATTTTCATGTATTGTTGAATCCTTTCATGGAACCAATCTTCAACTTTTTACACTAATCTATTACACTAATTGAGATTATCATTCCTCGTGGGTTGTTTTTATTCTCATTTATTCTCAACTGGAATTCATTGCACGTTGTCTTCAAGAAGACTTGTTCTCTGAGCTGTTGTTTCGATATTAAAATTAGCAAAATGACTCGATTGACAAGCAATTGAGGATCGCACAAGGGCTAAATTTTAAAAACAGACCTCTCAAATATCATCCTACGGATATCTATTACTCCGCATTCCAATTAATAATTGAGCAACCATGTGTTGATTTTTAACTTGATACACTTTTAAAGCCCCTTAAAATACCAATTATCATATTTTGATTGCTTACTTTACGGAAGTGACTGTTTTCATGTCTCGAGA